CAGGAATTTGCCTACCCTGAACTCCATGAAGTACCAGAGCCCTCACTGCCACAGCAACTGTTCAGAGTAATTTTAAATCACTTCTTAAATCACTTTAAATAATTTCCCTTTTTCCCAGAACTTAAGGGTGGAGGAGAAACTTGGCTCCTCAGTGAGAAGCTGTCTAAAATTTAGCTCTGTTAAGAAAAAAAATTTAAACATCTATGTATGTAAAAGCACAACTAGAAATTTCCTCCCCTCCTCCAACATGGAACTGCTAACAGAATTCTGTAGTTCTACACCCCTTTCCTTAAATCTTCAGAGACCAATTAGAAAAAAAATACATAATACTTAATTTGCTCTTGAAAATTGTTAACATCTGAAACTAACCACAAGATACTGTCAGCATTTATACTTAAAGATACACTGTTTATTGTCAATAACACTGGGTATTTCATCAGCTTGTTACAAGAAACATACAAGATGTCACTGTCTAGAAAAGAACAAAATTTTTTTCTGATTAGATTACTGTCAGCATTTAACACCATTTTGCACAGAATCACTTTCACTGTTTTCCCTCCTCTTTCATGAGGAGGTAAAAGGGGACAAAAAAAAAGCAGCTGAACTGAAAATACAAGTGTGTTATTATAAAGAAATCATCTGGTTTAAATACAGCACCTGAGATTTTAACACAATATACATTGAGCTACACCTCCCGAGAAGCTCACAGATGGCTCACTGAACTGCAATAACTTGATGCCCTTCTTAGAGTTCTTAAAGTTATTACTTAACAGGAGTACATTCGAAGTAAGTTGCTACTCATTACTACTAATCCAGAAAGATCAGAACATTATTCAAGCTGGTGGTACAGTGCCTAGCAAAGACACACACAGGAACCCACCTGAAAATATTTCTTGGGTACCTGAGAAACAGCGACTGACACACCAGCAGAGAGAGCGAGCTGCTGGGGAGGTGCGGGGACGGCCGGGGGGCGCGGTGTACTGGGCTGTGCCCCGCACCCAGCAGCTGGCCCTCTCGAACCCCTCGGC